CTCTCTCTCTCTCTCTCTCTCTCTCTCTCTCTCTCTCTCTCTCTCTCTCTCTCTCTCTCTCTCTCTCTCTCAGCGAACCGAGACACTGGTGCAGGAAGCACCTATCGTCGAACCGTGTGAGCAAAGTTACAAAGCGATCGAAACAGAATCACCTATCGTCGAACCGTGTGAGCAAAGTTCCAAACCAATGCAGAGGCTAAAAGCACGATCGTCGATCGGGCCCGCGGTGGACGGCCCGATAGAAGTTTCGGGAATCGTTGGCGCGGATCCCGAAAAATCTATCGGGCCGTCCAACGCGGGCCCGACCGACAATCTCGACCGATTCTCACCGGTTCGGCCCGGCCCGAAAGACATACGCGGTGTCTGTCGGGCCCGCCTACCTGTCCCATTGTGTTTCCCAACAGTGGACAGCGGCCTCTCGCGGGAGCGTTACGCGAGGACCGCTATTCACTTAAGGAGTGTTAAGGATAAAGCAAGAGACCGAACACCAACGGTCGCAATACACGCCAACCTTTTGCTGTCAGTCCCCGTCACCTCGCCTTGCTGCGGAGTGTTTGCAACCCTGAAACGGTGGTCCCATAATGGGATACCAACCAGCAGCCTCTCTCCTCTAAAGGGCGTCGTCGGGCTACAACTAACGGGTACCCGTGTCCGATGGCAAGGAGGGGGCACATGACCTCTCACAGGGGGTGATGAGTCTCCTACCGATGCGGCCGCGGGTGCTCCCGTTTTGGGGTCCCACTAATGCAGCGATTAGACGGTCATGTCAGCAATGAGTCGAATGCGAAGGGTCTGGCCACCAGTCTGCAGTCAAGGTCGAAAATGAACCGTCGATTCCCCAGCGACGTGACTGGGCGGGGGAACCAAAATTCGTAAGGCTAAAAAAAAAGAGGAGAACTAATAAAACTGAAGAAATAATAAAGGAAAATAGCTTTGCAGAATTCCTAGCACCGTGGCTGTTAAGGACCATCAGATCTAGCAGTTCTAAAGTAGGGGCCGGGATTTAAGCAACAATACAAAACACAGCCCCCTTTCTATTTCTCTTATTCTTTTTTCTTTCATTTTCTCCTTTGTGCCCTCGTAGTCACTGCACCCGTCCCATAATCCGGTCACGGGGACTCGGCACGCAGTTGGGAGGACCATCTCCCATTTTCATTGTCGTGTCCCTTGACGACAGCGACCACGGTATGGGGTGTCAAGCCTGAGTGGACCGGTGGAAGTCCTGTCGCGACCCCACTCCTTTGGCCAGGACAAGCACCGACAGAACCAACCCTCAACAGGGTGCAACTCAGCCGGTTCCGCCTGGTACGCCACAGAAGCCCATAGACGGAGAGTTTAGTGCACCACGGGGGTTCCCGATCAGGCGCCCGGCACACAGCGGGTTTTCCCGTCTGGTACTCAATGGGGGTGTGTGAGTAGACATTTGGTACGCAGCGGAGGTACGTGAGCAGACATTTGGTACGCAGCGGAGGGCCGGGACACCGCGCCCTCCGACGCCGTAAGCAGATCAACTCCACTTGCTGGAGTTCAATAGCCTCTCTAGTGCGTGGACGTGGCGAAATGTACTGCAAGCCCACCATCTGACTAGAAGAACTATTTGATCCCACCCCACTGGATGTGGACTGCGAGCTGGTCGACATACCTAACGTCTGCTGACCTGAAGAGGTCGCTGCAGATGTAGCCATTGCTACAGCGCTAGCTGCTGTTGCCGCTAACACTTGTTCCACAATTGTTGCTGCCTTCCTAGCAATCTCTAAATGTCGGCCCCTTGCTTCGGCCCTAAACCTTTCCTTGTTGCCTGATAGTAGAACCTGAAACACTATCAATATCCTCCGTGTATCTCGCTGTGTTTGTCTTCGATCGTCAATTGTCCCTTCACCACTATTTGAACCACTCGTCAGCTAAGCAGACATTGTCTACACTAGAGCCCTCAGTGGGGCCTACCACAACATGTGTTTGACCGGGTTGAAAAATAAATTAATATCCGGCAAGTCACCTACGCTACCGTTCAAGCGGTATCAACAACATATACATAGACTGAGCACCTGATAATCCTACTTCGATTAGTGTCACTCACAGCAGCGTCGAAGAGAACTGACTATGGGAGAACACCACATTTCTAATCTAAGTTGTCTGTTAGGTGTTCGCAGTTTGTCCACCAACTAATCAAAATGAAAATAAATCATGTAAGCAGATGTATGCACGGTGTAAATAGTTGTGTTTGTAGTTGAGCATCAATTGGAACCTTCCTTCCCCTGTATCCAACGTACATGTCCGCATCATCAAGCAACAGTGACTAAGGTGTGCATTAACGCCCAACCCCGTGCCCAGGAACTCGCTTATGACCAGAATTATCCTTCATTTACCCTCGCGTGCAACGAGCCTTACGTCTGACTTATCTGGCTGATCAAGAGGCATTTTAAGGACAACCCCCAAGGTCCTCAAGAATTATTTAATGTCGCAAACAGGACGACGATCACAGCCAGTATTCAAATCAGAACCCTGCCAGAAATATTTAAATACGGTCTGGTGAGCGTCTGCAAAGGACTGGTCAGTCCACATTTCCTCTATTAGCACAACAAAGAGCTTTAAAGGACAAAGCAACATGGCCTGTGGGTACTACTCCCATGGGTTGGCATGGTGACCATGACCCATGCTTCAAAAGCACCGCCCTCTCCTGCCAGATGCGCCATTGGGAAGAATGTGGTCTCTAAAGGAAGAGTGCTCACGACTCCTTACTCAAAAGAGGCACTCAAGTTGGACTCACTTCCTCATAGAAAGAAGAGATTGAGAGGGAAGATTAGGTAAGGGAACAACATACCTGGAGATAGCTGCCCCCAGCCACATTTTTTCACCAAATTGAGCCGATGTGCATTTCGATGACCGGTCATAGCCTTGGTACCACCCACAACACAATGCAGTGCAACCTCAGCCAAAACTCCCACGTTGTTGCCACAACTCCCACGTTGTGCCATACATCCGTTGAGTGCCTCTCATCACAACCTTAGCCATGATGTGCATTTCTCTCCA